GCCATAGGGCTGTGTAGTTCTTTTTTTTTTTTTTTGGTTTTTTTTTTTCCGGTACCGGGAACCGAACTCACGACCTTGCGCTTGCCAGGCAGGCGCTTTTGCCGCTGAGCTAAATCCCCAGCCCCTGCTTTCTTTGTTTCAGTTAGATCTGAAGAACAATAGCAACTTATTCTTCACTCTCATTTCATTTTAATTGTATTTTTATTGATGTATGTCCTAGAAGAACTTTTTCATACATGTTATATGGTGATGAACTTACTGAATGTTTGCATATCTCAAAACTTTTTCCATTTCTTTAATTGTTCTGCTGAGTATGAAATTTTAGGTTCAAAATAATCCTACCTAAGCATTTTGGAAACTTATCTGATAGAAAGGTTTATATCAATCAATATCTCTTTCCTTTGAAAGTAATTAATTGTATGCTTTCCTTTAAAAGTTTAGGATTTTTGTTTGCTTCTGGACAGTGATCACCATTCTGAAAATCTTATAAGATTTTTTCCATATATTTTCCCTTTTTATACATCCTGCTTAGTTACTACTTTCTAAGTGTTTCCCATCAATGAATTGTGTCTTCAGAATTAGGGATGCCTTTCAGCCATTCAGAGGTATACTAGCTAAGTGGATTAGCCTTTCTCTGAAATTCTGATCTCTCTCTACAGCTCTTCCAGAGTGATAGAAGTCTCTAAACAAGGAGAAGAAAACACAGAAGCGACCAGGCCTGTGAGTCGGTAGGTAGAGTGGTAGGAGCTCCCCTGGTACTGGGAGGGCTTTGAGAGAAAGGCAGAAAAGTGTGGGGTAGGAGCATTGGTCCCTGATTTTCAGAGTACATCATTTCAGACCTGTGCAGCTGAACAATTTGGTAATGCACATCCTTGCTATTCAAGGCTATGATATTCTTCTTAGCTTATGGACATAAAAATTGTGTATAGCTTTAAAAATACTCAGGCCAGGAGCTGGGGATATAGCTCTGTGGCACAAGCACCTGCCTGGCAAGTGCAAGGTCCTGAGTTCAATTCCCTGTACAAAAAAAAAAATCAGTCCAATGTTTTAAAGGTCATACAATTAGAGTATTACTTTATGAAAGCTGTTAATTTTTTCTGAGAACCAGATTAGAATACTAGTCAGATCACCCTTCATAAAAGCATATTAGTACAATTTTAAGTACTCAGATTAGTGTGTTTTCCTGGATTTAACCATTAAGGATGATTTTGTCCTCTAAAATTTATCTGCAATTATTCTTGTGTCATGAATTTTAGATCTTATGGAAATCAATTTGAGTACCATTAGCACTGATTTATTATCACATGTTGAGGATGCATTTGATATTTTAAAATATCCAAAGTAAAAGACAGACACTGGGAAACAGGGAGATAGATGGTTTGTAAATGGGAAGGGGATCAAAAAAGATGGAAGGAGGCGGGGAGGGAAGAAAAGGTAGAGGAAGTAAAAAGAACTAAGATGTGCTATGTCCATGCACCAAACCCCCATGAGGAATGTGATCATTAAGTACTTCCCACATCTACTTCTAACAATAAAAATTTTAAAATAAATAAAATATCTGAAAGTGAAACTATGGTAATGATCACACCAGAGAGTGCTACCCAGGGCACACATCCCAGAATATGTATGTCTATGGACACACGTAGAGGAATGTTCACAACAACTTTATGTATAATGGTGAAAAACTTCAATCAATCCAAGTGTCTAGTAATATAAACATGGATAAAGTATCACTAAGTATTGGTAAAGTATTTGTACCATTTGGTTAAAAAACAAAAAAAGAGCTAGGCATGGTGATGATCCACACCTATAATCCCAGGAGTCTGGGAGGCTGAGGCAGGAGGATCAGAAGTTCCAGCTCAGCATAGGCAACTTAGCAACTTGATGTAAAGACTGTGGGTTCGGTCTTCAGTTTGGAGACAGACAGAGAGAGACAGAGAAGAGAAAGGGGGAAGACAGAGATACAGAGACAGAGTAGACAGAAAGAAAAGAAAAAATGAAAAAAATCAGACTCTCTCCTTACCTGTGGCTTTGTTTTCCTTGATTTTCATTACTTATCGTTGATAGCAGGCCCAAAACAATGTTAGACAGAAAATTAGAGAAATAAGTGCTAAGTTTTAACACACCACCCATCAGTCCCACCAGGCACAGGAGTCACCCTTCAGCCCTGCCTGTTCATGCTGTACAGGTGAAGCTCTAGATGATACTTATGCCTTCAGGTTTCATAGTTTCATCTAGGCCAAGCACCTCATGCTTAATCAGAGTCTAGGGATAAAACGCTAGCATTTCACATCTTTACAATGTCATTCAAGGATAGAGCTGACAGGTTTAGGAAATGTAAGGATGGAAGGAGGGTAGAGAAAGCACAAGTGTTGGCGTTTCCTGCATCACAAAGTGAGGCATGAAGAGATTTTGTTTAAGGTTGATTGACCAAGAAATGCAATTTTAGGCAAAGTCATTAAAATCGTAAGCCCAGCACTCACGAGATGACTAAGAGATGTTGCGAGGAGGAAGGGAGAAAAGGGAACATAAAAAGAACTAAGAGACATCATGCATACGTATGTGTACATGCATGTGCACGCATCGACAGTGTGTTCATTAGGTACCACAAAAATGTACTCATAAAAAATCCAGTAATAAATTAAATAAAATTAAAGGTAATCTAAGAGAAATTATGGAGAGAATGAGGGACAAGTATAATTTAAGTTCTTTATCTTCAGGTGGGAAGAAAACATTTAGGAAAAACATTGATGAGACCAGAGGACGTTATGCCAAATGAAATAAGTCAGACAAGAAAAGACAAATCCCCCACGCTCTCATGTGTGGAAATTAAAGCACTTGCTCTCTTAGAACTGTAGAGCAGTGGTTGCTAGAGGTTAGCAAGGGTGTCAGGAGGAAATGAGAAAGGATGTCTAACAAACACTGGACTGCAGTTGAAACGATGAATAACTTCAAATGTGCTGTATCACAGTAAGATAATGATGGCTAACAATAGTTGATTGCATGTTTCAAATTAGCTACTAAAAGGATTTTGAATGTTCTCAATATAAATGATAAATGTTTGAGGTGATGGATATGCCAGTTACTGTGATCTGATCATTGTACATTATGTACTGCATTGACATAGTCATACTGTACTACATAAATATGTACAATTATTTTGTGTTAGTAAAAATAATTTTTAAAATATGTAGTCCAAACTTGGCTGATTTAAACAGAGTTTTGGAGGTGGTCTTTAAAGTTATGAATATAACAGTAGATTCAATAAAACAAAAAACAACTAAAGAAAAGTGAAGAGAAGGAAGAAACAGGATGACTAAATACCGTATCTTTGTAGTGGAAAGTTTGTAAAGAAATAGGCGAGGGGCTGGGGATTTAGCTCAGCGGCACAGCACCTGCCTGGCAATCGCGAGGTCCTGAGTTCGATTCCTGGTACTGGAAAAAAACAACAACAACAACATCAAAAAAAGAAAGAAATAGACGGGTTAGTAAATCACTTTCTGTGGACGTGGCCATGAGAATTCAAGATAGAAACTGTCCTGAGAGGGTACCTTGGAACATTGCAACTGAGGCAGAGGTGAAGAATGAAAAAGAAATTTGCAGGTTTCACTTTTTACCTTTCTGTACCATTCAAATTATTTGTACTCGGTGTATATTATACACTTCTGTAGAACAACAGTTATGAGTACAAATATTAGACCTGGCCACATTTTGGTTATCTACTTCATAAGGAATATACTAATATCTATGAAAACATATGCTAGTAAAATTTATCTACTACTTTTTTATGTTTCTTTCATAGGGCAGAATCATGAAACAGGCTTTGCTTTATCAGATCTACTCCTTGTTGGGACTGTTGCCCCTTTGTATTTTGTGTGCCTCCTTCAGCAACAAATGCACAGTGACACACAAAGTGGCTGATTGCAGTCACCTGAAGCTGACTCAGGTTCCCGACGACCTTCCCACAAACATAACAGTGCTGAATCTGACCCATAACCAGCTCAGAAGATTGCCACCTGCCAATTTTACAAGATACAGCAAACTTCTTGTCTTGGATGGAGGATTTAACACAATTTCAAAACTAGAGCCAGGACTGTGCCAAAATCTCCCTTTGTTGAAAATTTTGAACCTCCAACACAATGAGCTATCTCATCTCTCTGATAAAACCTTCATGTTTTGCATGAATTTGACTGAACTCTATCTAATGTCCAACTCAATCCAGAAAATTCAAAACAATCCTTTTAGGAACCAAAAGGTAAGGTGTGTTTATTTCCATCTAAGAGATGTAAAATAATTTTATTTAATCTTAGGTTTTGAACTTACTTCCTCATCTTTCAATTGAATGTCTAAATATGAAGGTAAGAGTAAGAAAGCTGATTTACCCCATAGGGACTGCAGAGACCCACATGCAAATATTGCCATTGTGATACAAAATATTTTCAAAATTACAACCTTAAATCAATCTGCCTCTCCTACATTTAAATAATTCTGCCTCTCTTGCTTTCTTCCATGAGAAATAGGGCCCAGATACAAGGAGCAAAAGTCAAAATCAGAGAAGCATCAGACTGTTCTCTGCGGAACATGGAAATGACGTCACAGGGCTGCTGATTTAGTATAGAAACAGTGAAGAAAAGTGTTGAGGACAAGTTCTGACTTCAATAAACCTAACAAATTGACACAATGACAAGACAAATTGTTCAACAAAAATTTCTTACTCTTGATGTAAGAAATCTCCTCAAAGTATCCTGTTTCAGGACTTTGAATTTTAAATCTGAAAAATACATGTCATTATCTGTAAGTCTCAGGCAGTTACTAAGCACTTTCTTTAGATTGCTGGTTAGCTATTGTAAATCCTGTCTTGCTTCCTGTTAGATTCTGAAATATCTTTGGATACAAAGACCTCAATATCTGATTTGAGAAACTATTGCAAAATGTTACTTTTTTTAAAAAGCATAAATAAAAGATTTTTTTCCTCACTACAGATTAAATTTTTCCCTAGCGAGTATCAGACTTTGTCATACCTTTTTCCTGCATTTGAAGTTTACATGTTCAAAAGTAAGTTAGAGTTTACTTTTGAAGTAAGTTGGATAAAAATATCCCACAATACAAACAAATGAAAATAAGACAAAGAAGTATTGATATTCTGTGTCAAGAAACTATTAATCTTTCTCAATGTAAAAATCTTAGCTGGGCATGGTAGCACACACCTGCTTTTAGGATTTCTTGGGTGGCAAAATTCTACTTACGTTTCTTAAGGAAACATTTTTCCTTTTTTTTCTGTTAATTATACCCAAGGCAAATGCATGACACTACATGTTTAATAAGCCATATGGATATTCTTTGTATCATAAACACTTATTACAAGTAAGTAAATTATGAGTTTTCTTATCTCATAAATCAATAGGCTTTAATCCTTTTACTTTGGTAAGACAAAATTATTCTTGAAGTAAAAACTAAATTCTTGAAACAGTGGTATTTTTAATCACAAAAAGATTATTTATTACTTTTACTCTCAGTTCTCTACAGGATAATAGATGATATTTTTCTGTTGAGATATTTTTCAGATTCACTTACATTTACAGAAGCTGTTTTGGATGGAAAGATTCCAACGTATTTTTTTTTATTCTCAGAATTTAATCAAACTAGATCTGTCTCATAATGGTTTATCATCTACACAATTGGGAACTCAGCTCCAACTGGAAAATCTCCAAGAGCTTCTATTATCAAGTAATAAAATTCATGCACTAAGAAGTGAAGAACTTGATTTCCTTGGTAATTCTTCTTTACAAAAATTAGAGTTGTCGTCAAATCAAATTAAAGAGGTAAGAAGTAAGGTAAAATTATTTTGCATTCTCCTCTTAGCTATGTGTCATCCTTAACTGTGTCACACTGATAAGAGTCTACAGACTCTTTGAGAAGAAACTGTGTACCTTTTGTCGAGTCTTCCAAAATTCTTCACATATGTTGCCCACGTATGTCCCTCTAGGACATCATCAAGATAGAGCTCTGCTAGTAAGTGGTTAGAAAATAGAGCCCTGCTGTAAAACAGGAGATTAAAATCCCTGTGCCATGCTTTGACCTTGGGAAACTTACTGGTTTTAATTCTTACTTTTTTTTTTTGGTTTTTTCTCCGGTATCGGGAACCGAACTCAAGACCTTGCGCTTGCCAGGCAGGCGCTTTGCCGCTGAGCTAAATCCCCAGCCCCCCTTAATTCTTACTTTTAAAGTGGAAATAAACCTCTTTATCTGCTAAAACATCTGAAGATTTAAAATAGTATAATGGCCTAAGAGTGCAGGTTTTAGAGCTGAGTTAACTGCCCCTACTGAGGCTGTCGTTTTTAATTGTGTAATCAGTAAAATTACTCAAATTCTTTCTGTCTGTCTCCTGCCTTTCAAATAGTACAGCCATAGCCTTACTGCATAGGACTGTATGGAAAAGAATTAGTAGTGTCTGGCATGTAGTGAGCGCTTAAGAAGTCACATGTAGGACTATGTCATAAAATCCTTCCTGCAAGGCAGTACTTACTTCATTAACTTCATTAACTACCTCTTCTTGAATCCATAATCTTTCGCTGAACTATTTTCATACACACTTAAGGCTACATTTTATACCTTTACAGATTGTAAGAATATTTGAAGTCTTTAAGGAAAACAGCTTTTTATAAGCTATATTATTTTTCAGATATAAAAATAGACTATGTACAAAGTTATCCTGAAACAGTGATATGTTCTTCAAGCTACTCATTTATTTTTAAACAGCTTTTCTTCCCAATTTATTTCCATAATCTTATAAAATACATAAGTAGTGAGGGGCAATAAAAATGAGAGTTAATAAAAGTCAAGCATAAGCTCACAATCAGAAGCAATTACTGTTAATACTTGGATATATTTATCTTCAGGTCTTCTTCAAACAATTATTTTTTTAAAAGCAGCTGGAAAAAAGGAAAAAAAATAAAATAAAAGCAGGTAAAATTCATAGAGTATTTAGAATATTAACATCATACCAAATGCTAAAATTTTTTATATGAATGTATATAGTCCTTTTAACTTATTTTTATTATCATATTGTACAATAGCAAATTGTGATGTAAACAGCTGAGTGACATATCTAAGTTCTCCTACCTGCTGACAGGCAGCGACCACCTGCTGATAGACCTGGGTTTATGGCTGTGAGACCACAGCCTATACTCTTTCTCAACTTCTGTGCCGTATTGCCTCTTGAGGGTAGTGATGTCTCCTGCTTTTTAAAATTAATATCATATCATGAACATCTCCCATGCAGTTAAGAATTGCTCAAAAATTTCATTTTAGTGGCTGCAAAATAATTTTAACATGGAGGTGCATCCAAAGTAATTCCTCACTTTGCATCTTACTCCCTCTTATTTACAGTGGAGCACACTTTCTTCCACGTTTTTTCCATTAGCTCAAACCTCTCACATAAGGAAACACTAGAAATAAGAGCTCCTTTGCTGTCCTGGCAGTTCACTACCAGCAATGGGCTATTGTCCCCTGTGGACGCCATCTCTCCAGCTTCTGTTTTCCTGGCTCAACCCTGAGTTTCAGAACAGACACAGCTTATGATGAGGGAATAGGAAGAAGTGGAAGGATTTTGGAAACAGGATAGTAGAATTGAGAGGAAATCTGAGTGGAAAGACAGAAGAGTTAGGTGGAACTCAGAGTTCCTGATGCAGAAGTGTGTGTCCCTTTGTCAGTCACCCTCCCATCACTAGCACAAAATAGCTGATACCTGCAGCTTAAATGAGGAGAGGGTTACCTTTGCTCAGTTTCTATGGGTTCAGAAACAGTGGGAGAGGAGATAACAAAGGAAAGCTGCTTGACCCATGGCAGCCAGGAAGGAGAGAGAGAGAGCGAGAGTGGGAGAGAGTGAGAAAGAGACAGGGACAAGGATGCACCCTTGCAGGTCATCCTCCCAGCAACCCACCTCCTTCCACTGGGCCTTGCCTCCTGATAGCACATTCAGTTAAGAACTCATGGAATCGGTTAATCCCCTAATGAATGGAGCACCCCCTGGCCCAGTCACCTTTCAGAAGCTCCAACTCTGAACACAGGTGACTTTTACGGAATATTTTATATCTGAACTTTAATAGTCACTACTTCATAATAAAAGCTGTCCAGCTGGGTATGTTGGCACATGGCTATAATCCCAACACTAACAAGGCAGGAAGCTGACAAATTTGAGCCCAGGCTGGGCAACTTAATTTGGGGGTCTACCTCAAAAAAATATATAGTGTATGACATACTTTGATCTAGATAGATATAGATACAGATACAGATATATAAACAGCTATAGATACAGATGATATAGATAGATGGATATAGATAGATAAATATAGATGTGGAAAAGCCCTAAGTTCAGTCTCCAGTACCCACTGAGCACCATCCCCCCATAAAAAGCCACCCATAGTTATTCCTTCCTGACAGTTACTGACAATAAATGGCTACCAAGACACAATCAGGATCTGCATCAGTGGTGACCTCACAGGTAGTTTATTAACCACGATTGTATTCAGTGTGATAATGTAAAGTACCAGAAGATTTAACCTAGCCATGCGAGTCAGGAGAGAGCTCCTGAAGCAGGGGCAACTGAATACAATGTGAAGGCTTAGTAGAAGTTAGCCAGTCCCCAAGGTAGGCCAAGGGCTGGGCGCTCAGGAGGGTGTGGCAGGCACAGAGTAAGAAAGGAGCTGTGCATTAGCGGGTCGGGGAGATATGTTGTAAGGGGAGGGAGGGAAATTGAATAAAGGGTTGTATTTATGGGCTGGGGATATAGCTCAGTGGCATAAGTGCCTGCTTGGCAAGCTCAAGGTCATGAGTTCGATCCTGGTACCACAAAAAAAAAAAAAAGTTGTATTTATGTTTTTCAAGGACCATAGGAACCTTGTTGTATTTTAGTTATTAATCTTATCCCCCCATTTTAGTTTTCTCCAGGGTGTTTTCATGTGATTGGAAAATTATTTGGCCTCTTTTTAAATAATGCTCAACTGGGCCCTAGTCTCACAGAGAAGCTTTGCTCGGAATTAGCAAATACAAGCATCCAGAATCTGTCTCTGAGTAATATCCAGCTATATGGAATCAGCAACACAACTTTCTTTGGACTAAAGCAGACCAACCTCACCATGCTCGACCTTTCCCACAACAATTTAAATGTGATTGGTAATGATTCCTTTGCTTGGCTTCCACATCTGAAGTATTTCTCCCTGGAGTATAATAACATAGCACATTTGTCTTCTCGCTCTTTCTATGGACTTTTCAATGTGAGACACCTGAATCTGAAACGATCTTTTACTAAACAAAGTATTTCCCTTGCTTCACTTCCCAAGATTGATGATTTTTCTTTTCAGTGGCTAAAATGTTTGGAGTACCTTAACATGGAGGATAACAATATTCCAGGAATAAAAAGCAGCATGTTCACTGGATTGATAAATCTGAAGTACTTAAGTCTATCTAACACTTTCACAAGTTTGCAAACTTTAACAAATGAAACATTTTTATCACTTGCTCATTCTCCTTTACGTGTGCTCAACTTAACCAGAAATAAAATCTCAAAATTAGAGAGTGGTGCATTTTCTTGTTTGGGCTACCTAGAAGTACTTGACGTTGGCCTTAATGAAATTCAGCAAGAGCTCACAGGCCAGGAATGGAGAGGTCTAGGAAATATTTTTGAAATCTATCTTTCCTACAACAAATACCTACAACTGACCAGCAACTCCTTCATGTCGGTCCCGGGACTTCAACGACTGATGCTCCGAAGAGTGGGCCTTAAAAGTATTGAGGGCTCCCCTTCACCTTTCCACAATCTTCATAACTTGACCATTCTGGATCTAAGCAACAACAACATAGCCAACATCAATGATGCAATGTTAGAAGGTCTTGAGAAGCTAGAAATTCTGGATTTGCAGCATAATAACTTAGCACGGCTCTGGAAACATGCAAACCCTGGTGGCCCTGTTCTTTTTCTAAAAGGTCTTTCCCACCTCCACATCCTTAACTTAGAGTCTAATGGCTTTGATGAAATCCCAGTAGAGGTATTCAAGGATTTGTCTGAACTAAAGAGCATCAGTTTAGGATTGAATAATTTAAACATTCTTCCACCATCTCTCTTTGACCATCAGAAGTCTCTGAAGTCATTGAACCTTCAGAAGAATCTCATAACATCAGTTGAGAAGAATGTTTTTGAACCGGTTTTCCAGAACTTGACTTATTTAGATATGAGCTTTAATCCATTTGACTGTACATGTGAAAGCATTGCTTGGTTTGTTAATTGGATTAACCAAACCCATACTAACATCTCTGAGCTGTCAAGTCATTACCTCTGCAATACACCGCATCAATCTCATGGCCTCCCGGTGACGCTTTTTGATACAGCACCCTGCAAAGACAGCGCCCCCTTTGAACTTCTTTTCATGATCAATACCAGTGTGCTTTTGATTTTTATCTTTATTGTACTGTTCATCCATTTTGAGGGCTGGAGGTTCTCTTTCTATTGGAATGTTTTGGTCCATCGAGTTCTTGGTTTCAAGGAAGTAGATGCACAGCCAGAGCAGTTTGAATACACAGCATATATAATTCATGCCTACAAAGATAGAGATTGGGTCTGGGAAAACTTCTCCCCATTGGAAGAAAAAGATCGATCTCTCAAATTTTGTCTGGAAGAAAGAGACTTTGAGGCAGGTGTCCTTGGACTTGAAGCAATTGTTAACAGCATCAAAAGAAGCAGAAAAATTATTTTTGTTATAACCCAGCATCTATTAAAAGATCCATTGTGCAAAAGGTAGGCGAACATTGTGAAATTTTAAATACAAACTTGTTTTTGACTGAACTTTCAAATATCACAACTCAAAGAACTTTAAAAATAAAATTAAGGGGAAAAGCCTGATTATTAGTGACACATTCATGTAAATTCTTAAATGAATTTTAGATTGTTGGGTTTGGGTCTGTTAAAATGTATACTAATTATTCCATTTTTAAACTTTTTAAACTTAGATTCAAGGTGCACCATGCGGTTCAGCAAGCTATTGAACAAAATTTGGATTCCATCATATTGGTTTTTCTGGAGGACATTCCAGATTATAAACTTAACCACGCACTCTGTTTGCGAAGAGGAATGTTTAGGTCTCACTGTATCCTGAGCTGGCCAGCTCAGAAGGAACGGGTAAATGCCTTTCACCATAAATTGCAAGTAGCACTTGGATCTCGAAATTCAGTGTATTAAATTTATTTAGAGATTAAATGAACAAAGGAGTAGCTTTTCAATTTAAGAAATTCAAGGTAAATTTAAGTTTTACCTAAAAGTACTGTAATCTGATTATTCAGATGTATAGGTGATGGCATTATATTATAATTATTTATCTTCATAGAAATTCATCTCCTTGATTCAGGCATTTTATTGACAACTGACTTATCTAATCACAATAAATATCTAAGCATATAGAAAGATCCTCCTCTACTAATGATTACACAGTTGGTCACTGAGCCTACTACAACCTTAAAGAGTTTTAAAAGATTTTGCATTTGAAGAAAATAGAGTTATGTCAGACTTTTGTGATAATCATTTTTGGACTTTGGAGATGTAATTAAAATGAAAGATAATTGTTTTAATGAATATAGGCTTTTTCAGTTGTGAAAGGGTAAAATATTTTCAAAAGTTTAATAACAGAGATGTTTTCAGTTTGAAAGCTTCACATTTTAGTATTCCCATATGATTTTGCTAAATGTTAAATACTTCTTAAATTTGCTATCAAGATGCAGAAAACTTTCACAGTTTATTTAAATTACTTCATAAGATAAATACTATAGCAAACACTTATTTTTATTTTCCTAAAATTTGGGTTTCTGCAGCAGAAGCATGGAAACAATTCTCTTACTTAACAGAACTGCAGAAGTACTTGCTTCCTCAAGGTTACTCAGTTAATGAATTGTCTTTGTGGAAATAAAGAATTTCCCTTTCCTGCTCACAGACTCAGGAGATAGTCTTGGTCCTACTGACATTCTTTGATTCCTGAGTTTGAAAATCATGTTGATAAACAAAATCTTAGATAATTAGTGATGGTGAACATGGTATAATATATTCACATGAATTAAAAGCTATGTAGGGGCCGGGGTTGTAGCTCAGTGGTACAGCACCTGCCTGGCAACACAAGGTCTCGAGTTTGCACATCAGCACCAAGAAAAAAGCTACATCTAAGTTTGTTCTTACTTAGAGAGACTGTTAAGTTTTATTTTTGTTTTATAATAAAACAAAAGGCTCAGTTGTTTTGCAATAAACAGAATTTAAGTATTAGAAATAGACATACATAGCTTTTTGAAATATTTATGTATATAGTTTTGTGTTCAAGTATAAGAAAGACTGAAATTATAATTCTGAGATAATTTCTGTTCTTGAAGTGCTCGTTGTCTGCTAGATTTAAGAAGCATGAGATGTCACATTTTGAAATTTTGATTTAAATACTTCAGATTCTTAGGGCTAAGTTCACGTAACCCTGGATGGAATAAATAATATCCAAAGTGCTGTTGGTTCTGAAAGAGTCTACAGCCTACTAACATTGTGCATGCATGGAGGAATAATTTTTGCTCTTCTCTACCCTTACACTTAGACTTGTTTTATAGAATTTTAGATAAAATTTATTTTAAAATGTGATATAATCCTATTTCATTTTGGCATCATAAAATGAAAACCATGACTACTACTTTTCTTGACATACTTGTATGTTATCTATCAATATTTTTAACTCTTCACCAAAATACTTTTAAATAAATATTTTTATAAATTAATCATTGAAAAAAACAAAGCAAGAAACAATTTCATTTTTAGTTTCTTTTTTGTGTAACTCTAAGATAGTTGATCAATGACCAAAATTTAAATTGAGTCCAAATGTAATTTTTAAAAAACACCACATGGTAAAACTCAGCATTTACAAGGTTAAGATAGAAAACATGCCTTGGCTGAATAAATGTAAGTAAAACTGATAAGAGCATGTGCTCTGGCTTGTATTTGGTCTCACAGGAAGCAATATCTTGAACATCTGTGTGCTGTCCATTTTAATTGTTCTCAGAAGGAGTTCATGTCCCTGGGGTTAAAGACAAGGGGATTACAGAAAAGGATGTTTGTCTGATGGCCTATTTAATTTCCACTTGAGTTGACGTGTTGGAATAGTCACAAGGTGCCACTATGTAATCTGTTCACTCCGATGCCTTCCTGTTTTTCACTTTGCAAAACCAAACCCAACTTAAAACAAATCTTACTATTTAAGTTCTGCCTTAAAAAGAGAGCTTTTAGATTGAATAAGAAGTACATGGGATAAACTTACTAGTGAGAAGGGTGTTTTTCAATGCCACTTATTTGACAGTGTGTCTTGGTTACTTTTCTTTCAATCCAGAGTTAAAGAGGGAAAGATTTATTTAGCTCACAGTTTGTGGGGGTTTCAGTCCATAATTAGCTGGCTTCAAGGCAGGGTGGCACATGGCAGAGGAGCAAGAGTTCATGGTGGCCAAAGGCAGCAAAAGCAACAAGAGCAAAAAGAAAGGAGCACGAGAACAAGCCTCTTTCCCTCCCTTATATTATATGCAGGTTACCCGCCTCAGGGCGGGTGTAGCACTCAAACCCATAATCCTAGCATTGGGCCACAAACCAATCATACACTCTAGATGCTCACACCCATGACTGCATGAGGCTTTGGGGGGACACCCAGACACAAACCATAACACAGTATTTATTCAAGTATATGTACTTCACAGTATTTGTAAAAACGGCTCAATAATAAGTAATTAGTAAATGTAGATGCTTCAAACCCAAGAAGTTTTCTTGCAATCTATAGAAACAGTAAGTAAATGAGTTGGCTGTCTGGGCTGAAGGACAGGAATGGGGAATGATTTCAATAGGCACTAGAGATCTTTTGAGGGTGATGAAACTAATTTATAATTAGATTGTGATTATGATTGTACAACTATGTGAGTTTACTGAAAAATCTTGAATTGTATACTTAAAACAGGTGAGTTTATGGTATGCAAACTATATATTCAGAAAGCTCTTAGGAATGATATTTATTGAGCAGTTACATGTGCCTGGTGCATACATGAAAAATGTGAGATATAGTTATAGGAAAGGAGCAGTAGGTGAGAGAGTAGAAGGGATTGTCCAAAGCAGACCTGGATAGGGAAGGCTCATGAAACAGAGGTCAGATCCTTCAAAGGGGGCTGAGTTCCAGTAGGAGGAGAAGAAGATGGTAGAAAGAGTAAGGAGATGCAGTGCAGGGAGGGAGACATAAACTTTGTGTTGGTGACAACAGGGATGCTGGTAAGGATGGAACCTGGTTGCAGAGAGCATGGCAAGAGACTCCAGATGTGAGGAATCGGGCATTCTGGAGTTGTGATTTTATGCGTTTCACTCATTGAAACTAGATATTATAACAAATTTCCTCCTACAGCCTGTGATGGTGATTTAGGTAAATGATAAGTAGTTGTATAGAGAAATATAGTTTATAATTTTACAGTTCAAAAAGCCAGGCTTACTCTCACATAACAGCAGGAGCTTTGAAGCACTTCTTTTTTCCATGCACCACATAATGACATTCGAGTCAGTGGTGGAGTGTGAGGAACAGTGCTCCATATACCACTGAGTGGGGTCATAGCTGTCTTAGTCGATGCAAGTGTAGTCTATGCTGCGTCCACAATAACAAAAGTGCCTAATGAGACATTTTCTCAAAGCATATCTGCATCTGTATCACACATCTGTACATCTGTATTAAAATAGCAAAACAGGACAATCAGCTGATCATGAGTTACTAATGACACTAGATGTGGTAGAAAAGCCACTCTTAGCTCTTGCAGCCCTCCAGCCTTGTTTCCTCCTCCTGATTAAGGAAGATACTGTATCTGTCGTGTGATACTCTGAAGCCCCTACCACTACCATTTAACAAGCCATGCATCGGGTCCCCTGGGCAGGAATTATCAGACTTTTAATGATGAAACTTTCCTGGTTTCATATTAGAATTTTGGGGCAGAGTGGAATTTTTTATCTTTTTTTGTCCTAGGTCACGTCCACAGGAAATAGACTCAGGCATGGAAATTTGTGTACAGCAAGCTTGAGGGGAGAACTCTGATTTATTGGGAGTGAAATAAGTTGCACCAGGAAGAAAAAAAAAATGGTGAACTGTGATGGAGCTGCAATTGCAGCAGAGGCTTTACTTAGCCCATCCTGCAGCTGGTGCTGGAGCTGGAATGGCTTGGAACTGTAAATCTGGGCAAAAAGGCAGGGCCTCTCCTTACTCTCATACAAGCCAGTCACAGTAATGCGGGCAGCCACAGGAAGAAGTACGACCCTGAGCAAAAATCTCTGCCCAGAAGGAATGCTAGGGGAGAGCTGAGTGCCGACCCCTCAGAGGCTAACACAAGTGCAGTCGGAGGAATAAGAACAGGATCACAAGGGGAAAATCTCTTTACCTCTCCCCACTAGCCTCACCTTCTGAGATATTTAGGAAGTAAAAGATACATGGCTCAATTGGTTTCTTTTGGCACTTGTGCAAGTTTCCAGCCTTCTAAAAAATTATTAAGTAAAATCTCTTTCAAAAATTCTTGAAAACATATGGCTTTTCAAAAAACGGAAAAAAATCAATATTTTAAAAAAACAAGAAATGTTTTAATGTATTAATTTCTTGTCATCAAAGACAGCTGGAAACATACCTACAGTTGAACAAGCTGTAAATCAGTAAGAAGATGCTTAAAGAATCTATTGGATATGATTTGGGTTTAGGATGGGGAATTTAAGAGCAAGGAGGCTAAAAAAAAATCATAAAATTGTAATTTCTAAAGGAACTACAGTCATGTTTCCAAAGGAGGAATGGCACAGTGATCTTTCATTTATTTATTATTTTGGTCTGTATTCAGTGAAAATGATGATGTGATCACGCTTTGTTGAATTTTACAATATAAAGTAACATAATCTTGTCTGAGGGTGCTAGTCTGTGAAGCTGTTTATGTCCAATAGGAAAAGAATTCGACCAACCTCTAAGTGTCAGGCTGCCAAGACACTTCTTGCAGAGATATCTTTTTTCTATCAGTGATACCTAATTTTAAGTGACAAAACACAAAGTCTTTTGGGCAAAACAGGAGAACATTTGTGGTATGACATAGCTGAACTGGGGAAAGAGTAGGGGTTTAACTGCCCCTCAAGGGAGCTAGAACCTGGGGCTGAAGCACTACCAGATCTGGCATCTACTCTTCCCTTACTTTTGGTGAAATTGGGTTGTACTTCTGGAAACATATTTGCCCAGTGTCTTAGACAATTTCATGGAGTTGTAACTCCATGAAGGAATATAAAGGAATGTTTATTTGGCTTACTGTTATTGTGGCTAGATAATATGGTGTCTGGCTAGGGAAACCCTGGATGTGTCACAACATGGGAAGAAGCAGAAAGGGAACTAACAATGTGCCCTGGGGCCAAGAATGTGAGTGGCTTTGCTATACCTCAGCCCCCTCTCAGGAGAACTAATCCAGTCCCAGGAGACCTGACCCACTCCCCTGCTGTGGCATTAACCCATTCGTGAAGGTTAGCAAGGACCTTCCTCTAGCCTTCAACTCTTGAAAGTTCTATCACCTCAGTACCATTACATTTAAGACCAACCTTTAGCACATGAATCTTAAGGAGACAAAGCACAACCAAATCACAGTGCCCAAGATCTTTGAGGCTACCGTCTCACATCAACAACAAATGATTTCTCTTTCCTGCTCCTAATCTTTTGGGCCTCTGACTATCTGAGCTTGGGATATATGTCCATGTTTGTGACTATGGGACTTGATTCCTGTGGCTGGCAGCACCCTCTGGAACCATGTGAATAGAACATCATGAGAAGCAATCCACCCCGCACAGGGCTAGTGCCATTTCCCACAGACAGAAACCAGGAAAGAAAAGTAGTTTCTGTCCACACACTAGACATATGTAACTAGTGGTTCAACAAGGTAAGCTTGCTGTGCAAAAAGAAAGTTGTGTTGTATTTTCTTTCTCTCTCAATGCTCTCTCTTTAAAAAAAATTCTACTTTTGGGTGAAACTTCAGGGTTACTGTAGAGCCTTGTAGACACTCTTAGGTAGTACAAAGTGTGGTCCAACTTCATGATCAGAAAACCCCAGTTGATAATAATAATAACAAGAGCCCAAACTCTTGCACAGGTGGAGTTGTCCTTGTCCCCAGCTGGCCCTCTGTCAGCCTGCTGAAAACCTGTGCTGATGAAAGTGGGGTGCTGTCTTCTTTCCTCTGTCCTCATTCCACCTGCTTTCCTACTCACTACCTGATGACCTGAGCACCACCTTGGGACCTCAAGAGCTCAGAAGCGGATGGAAGATGATAAAGAGACGGTTTGCTCTCCTTGGCTGGCCTTGGGATGATCTGGCCTTGAGAACTTTTGCTGCACAGTGATGAACTGCTGACTCTTTCACACAGGCTTATATCATTGCTTCAGAAATCCAGCACCTGCTCTTGCAGTCTCGCTCACCTAGGCATTCCTCTAGTCAGCCACTCCAAGCCCAGGTTCTTCTAGCCTAGAATGTAATAAAAGAAATTCAAAGCTTCTCCTTACTCTAAATCAACCCAACTTTCCAGACTGTTACTCTGTGGAACAGTAACCCCCACTCTTACTCCATGCATGTAAGAGGTTGATTCGTGCTTCTCAACAATCTTGCAAGGTTTCACTGTTCTTATTAGATAATGTCCCTTAAAGGGGCCCCCTGCCAAACAAAAATGGCAAATACTATACACTCTCTCTGCCTCTCAGAAATAACTAATGTATATCAGGATATTAAAAAGTTAGTATGTGTAGCTATAAAGAAAGCTGTTTGGCTTTTTGTTATTGAGGCATTTCCTGAACTAATTTGGTCACAGAATTCTTCTTATTCTGCAACTCTTATTAACATTCTACTAAATACATGTTCTCTGTAACACATTTTTTTGGAAATATATTAGATAGACTTAATTATTCTAGATCTCCTTGCAGTCTATCATAGATCCCCTTATACAATTTATTGTCTTAAACTCTGTCCCAGACTTCACTGCCTTCTTCTCCACCTCTGCATCTATTTCTTAAGCTGCCAAATGAATATCATTCGTGCTAGTAAATTGTTCTCACCTACATTTCAGTAGCATTTCCTGCCTCTCACTTCAGTCTCTAGATGAAAATGGCTTTGGCTTTAGGATGGACCAAAGCATGAGGTTGAAAGCCTAAATACCAACTAAGGACATGAATTAGTGGAAAATAAAGAACTGCAAAGCATTTTTTTAATGGTAGAGGGTATATGATCAGATCTAAGTTTTAGAGAGGATACAACTAGTTAGCAAAAGTTTGAGGTTCTAGAGATGCCATTACTGATAGAGAACAAAGTTCAAATTACCTAGTCTAACATTCAGTACCCTTTACAACTACAGCAAGTTTTTTTTTCTGGCTTGATTTTCTTTTAATCACCTTTCCTGTTCTTCATACTGGTTCCGCAAAGTCACTCTATGCCCCAGCACTGTCACGGTGTGCCTTTCTCTCCTCTCCAGTGGAGAGTCAACTCTTGTGGAAATCCTCTCCTCTTTGCAGAACGAATCATTACTTCATTGCTTATGTACCCCTATGACTTTACTCATCCCCTTAGTCTAAGACAATGTGTTTGGGGCACTGTTTATTTCTGATTCTGTCCCAAATCCTTGGAATCTGAGCAACCAAAACACATCACACCGTCTTGGTAATCTTAATGTCCAGAAGGATGGAATATAGTAAGTTTTCAAAAAAGAAGTTGTTGGAAAAGAAACCAGTAAGTGGAAGTTGTGGCAATGAGCATATTCTTACTGTCAGGAAATTTTTTATCCAGTAGTTCTATTTCTGGGAAATCAATCAAAGAAAATAAAAGTGCTCTAGAGTTCCCTCATGCTTTATCAACCTTGTCATCCCTATTCCAGAAACCTGCTAATTTAGCCTATAGCAATAATACAAAGATTTCTAGAACACTACTTAAAAATTTGAATTTTTTTTTCATGATCTTGATTTTCTTTCCTCTTGCTTCATGTCCACTCATTCCTTCATACTTATGTAGTGCCTGACACACAGTAAGCATGCAAAAAATATGTGCTGCCTGAGCGGCTAAATGGTGAGTGAATGAATACTGGCATCCAGAGCTACTTGCAGCTCCACCAAACGGCCTTGCCCTTTCCAAGTTCCATTCGAGTGTCTGCCCAGTGTGGTGCTGTGCTCTCTGCTGTCCCACCTCCAGCTTTTCTTAGCTTAATTTTTCAGTCACAATGATTAGATCAGGTACTGGGGTTAGAAGCACACTTATTCTTTAAAATGATGGGTTAGTTAGACCTTAACCTTGTTACTTGGATGGAAAGGCCTTGAACTCTTAGACCTTGAGATCTAGTATTGTGGGTGCCAGAATCTGCACAAACCCTAGGGAGGAGAAGGGACTTTACCTTGGCTGCGTGACTTTGGAGGAAGCTCTCAGGTCAGAGTTCCTCCACTCTACTACCCTCTTTGGTTCAAGGGAATTTAAAGAGTTGCTCTTATGCACACTTTGTTTTGCTTGAAACTAGTCTCATCTGAGATAAATACGGGTCAGATGAGATCATCTTCCTTGGAGAAGCACTGTTACCTAAGCAGTGATAGGAAACAGAGGTCCCTCTAGACTTCTCTGATAACAGTTCAGCCTCCTTCCCGGGAGTTTAATGACTGCAGTTCTTTTGACATCATCCATCTCTGGTGGCCTCTGCGGCATTGCCTGGGCTGAAAGTGTGTTCTACCAATGCTGCGTCCCAGCCTGAAAGACAGTGGAGCCAGCAGGACATCCCCCTTGCAGAGTCTCACTCCTCGGGGGCACTTGGCAACTTCTGAACATAATAGTGGAGTGTATGAAGGAAGAGAAGTTATATACAGGATGGTCTGTGACTAAGAAATCGAACTTTCTGATAATCTTGGAATAGTGGGTTTTGAGTATTGTACCTTTGGGCAAATTCTAGGAGTTGCCATAGATCACACTCCAAACCTAAACAGCAGAACCACCATAATATATCCTCTGTCTATCTTCTATCTGTGTTATTTCTGTATCTTCAATCTTCTCTCTTTCATCTTCTCTTCTCCCTAAATTATGCTCCCTTCTGGAGCCATACTGTCATGGCTTCCATAGAATGTGGGAATCCCCAGAGGTCTGTGGACTGGAGGATGACAGTATTAGGAGGTGTTGTGGAACTGCTGAGAGGTAGACCCTGGTAGAAGTTCTTTGGGTCACTGGGAGCAGGTCCTAAAGACCAAATAAGGTAGTCCTCATATGACCGCTTGTTACTCCCTACAGAGAGTAGGTATACAAGAAACAAGCCTGGCTCCTTATTGTCTCTACTTCCAGACTTACGATGTGATCCTTATTCTACACGTGTCCACCACCTACCGTCTACCATAGATCTAAGACCTGCGTCAAGCGATTTGTTGGACTTTCAACCTCCAAAAATGTGACTTAAATAAATCTGTTTCTTATAAAAGTAGTCATCTCACATATTTTACTAGGTAATGAAATGTTGACTAATATACATGTTGTGGCCAAAAAACACAAACACTGGAGGGAATCCTAACAGTGTGTGCATGTATACAGCTGTTATGCTTTTGCTGTATGAGTCTCTTACCAAAATTCTATATGATACAATGTGGAAAGTATCATTCAGAAATGTGATGGTTGAGTTTCAGAAGGTCTATCACTCTCTCTTTAATGATAGCATTTGAAGTGGTGAAGGAATGCTCTGTGCCTGAGTTCTGCTGATAAAGCTTAATGGCAATTGTAAATTGGTAGTCACCCTTTTAATTTGACAACAATGGATGGTCAAACTATTCATTTTAGCTCTCTACTCTAGCAGACAGTCCTAATTACTTACCCAGCAAACATTCCCTCTCATACTGTTTCTTGGTTTGTGACCAACCATTTTTGTGCAGGTGGCACAAGATCAAGAGTGAAGGAGCCCCTCTCCAACACCAGGTGATGTACAATGATTATGAAGCATGATAGTGCTCTTTCTCATCACTCATGATTAGCTTAGGAATGGACTTTTGATCCAGCTCTGGCCAATGAGGCTCAACTGTAAGTTAGCTTGAGAAGCTTTTAGAAAGTATCTTATGACAAGAAGATAGAGCCATCTTGCCTTAGACAGTTATTTAGGAGAACATGGTAGGTGTCATAACACCATGACAATGCGTAAAAACAAAGAAAGATCTTGATAATTCCCTTCACCGATCCCAGAACCAACCAATTCCAAGCTTCTGGCTCTGTGAGCCACTTAAGCACCTTGACTATTCAAGCTTAGGTTTTATACAGCTGAATGTACCTTCCCTGACCATTGCTCTTGCCCTCTGCATTCTTCACTACCTTCCATCTGCTACAACACTCAGTGGATACAGTCATGGTCTATTGTCATTATCTAATGCTGCTTTTTGATATATTTTAAATTGTTCTTCCTATTATTATTTTAGTATTTGTCACTCAGTAAGCTCCAGAACCCTTAAACAGATATCAAGAAAATGTGCCTAAGGCTGTATGGAGGTTTGCATTTGTTGTGATTTCATTTATTGTGCTTATTATGCAAAACAAATCCTCAGACACACTTTTGAAACACTCAGATGGTACAAAAATGAATAAATTTAGAAATAAAATATGGCTGTAATTTCCTTTAAGATCTCCTTCTCTAGTTACTAATTGTAACCCTGTGTCATATGTGATAAAAGCTAACTTATCCTGAGAGCATACCATTGCTAGGCTCCTTACAGTGACCTCTCATGAATTAGGTAATGCAGCTCTCACAAGGAACTATTATTATTGCCCATGAGTTATAACTGAAGGAACCAGAAACAAGCAGAAACCTGAGTGTTGGTAAGCGGCAGACACAGGGTCGAGGTTCAAAATCTCCAATACTATAATACCTTCTCGCAGTGCTTAGTAAACATATGTGAAATCAGCAGTTCTCTTCTATTATTCAGAAATTTTATTTTTTTTGATCAACTTTTGACAATATTTTCCTCATAGCGTCTTTCCTTGGTGACATGTTAATGGAGACAATTTAACTTAATAACAGATTAACTACTCAGGTTTTTTACTTTTATGTTTTCAGAACATAACATCTTTTCATAGCAATGTGATCCCAACTTTCTTATAACTAATAATTTTTTCATTGATGTAGCCAGCCATTATTATACACATCAGAAAAACAATTAAATTCTTAATTAATGAATAAAAGCAGAATTTTATCACATAAAACACTACTTTGACATAAAATCAACACCCTTCCATGTAGATAACATCACTTGCTGTATTTACTTTCATCTCATTATTCTTGAAATAATGGATTAGTCACACCACTGTGGTCCATCTCCTAAGGCTCATGTCATGAGAACGGCTGCTAGTAATTAACAGAGAAGCCTAGTAACATCTAGCATCTGTCTGAAAGACTGTTGATAGATGAACAATAGATATAAAAGACCTAGATCTTGCTAAGGATTGTTTATCATGTTTGCAATTATATGTCCTTTTCACAGGGAGCACCTTCAAACAAAAGGATCTATTGTTCATTCATTGTCCCTTTTTCATAAAGCTGACTGTTCAAAAGCTAAATCAATGAACTTAACTGAAAATGGTCCCTCTTTCCTCCCCTTCCTTCTTATGATTTCTGTCATCCTTTCCATAGATTTGAAACAAGTGTATGAATATCATTTTAATTTATGGCCAGATTTTTAAGAACAAATGCATGCACCAAAGACCTTCATGGGAATAAGGGTGCCAGGAAGACAGTGTAATCATGCTGAGTCCCCTAAATTGATACCCCAACAGCATATTCGTTTCCCCGTGTCTGTCATAACAATTTACCACAGACAGGGGCTTTGCTACAGAGATTTATTCTCCCACAGTTCTGGAAACAAGAAGTCCTAAATTGGCTATCTGTGGGGCTATTGTCTCTGAAACCTGAAGACAGGATTTTTCCTGGCTTCTCAGTGTTCGACTGTGGCCGTCAGTCTGTGGTGCTCCTTGGCTTGCAGCTTTATGTCATTTCACTCCCTACTCTGTCATAACATGTGTGTCTGTGTTCAACTTCCCCTCTGCTTTAGAGTTGACCAGCCACACTGGATTAAGCCCACCCTTATGAGCTCAGTTTAACTGCATTACACTAGTCCCTCTCATCCATGTTTTCACATTTCATGGTTCTGGTAATGCAAGGTCAACTGCAATCTAAACATATTATTACCACACGATGAGGAATTAAAACATTTTGAGAGAGAGAACAAAGGAGCAATCATTCACATAACATTTATTACAGCATGTTATTATAGTTGTTCTATTTTATTGTTATTCCTGATAATGTCATCCTGTATGCAAATTATAAATTAAACATTATCATATGTGTATATAAACATTCATAGGTATATAAATATGGGATTTGGTACTCTGTACTGTGTCGAGTATTCACTGGGGTTTTGGAATGTAACCCCCATGAGTAAGGGAAGACTACTGTCCAGTCTCTAAAGATGCTATATTCGAATATATTCACATTCACAGCAACGGGGAGTTAGAACTGAAACACTGTGGAGGACCCCCCGGACAACTCTCCTTGAAAGGAGAGCAATTATCTCCATTTTGCCTAAACCTGGCCCTAATTCCACATACTGATAGGTACAGAGCTGGCTACAACTTTTGCTTATTCCGTCAATTGGCTGTAAGCAATGCAAATCAGTCCTGCCAAGGTGCTGATGTGCAGTCTTTGAAGCAAGGTGACAGGTCGGTATTACCCACCCCTGCAGCTCCCAAAAAACGTGTGATCCAGGTGGGATGGCAAGCCGTGCTCCACACTGTTGGCTGTGTTGAGCCTCAAGATAAGTCTATGACTTCCCAGGGCATAAAAAATCATACATCAGAGCTGAAGCACTGACCCCAAAACATTAGATACTAGCTCAAATTGTGTTATGCAGATTACTCCTTCTGCATATCCTCTTCTCTGTTTATTGCAGAGGTGGTTTCGGACAACACCGAGCCCAGCTCACAGCACGCGTGTACTTCCCGCCATTCTCACAGTCACTCATCTTCAAGCCACTCTCTTCTTCACAATTAATAACACCTGGGTTTAGCCCTGGATCAAGGCCTTTGTTCCGGTTAGCTGGACTTACCACTCCCTTGGCTCCCCATAACTCCAAATATACCTTGGTGTCTTTATTCTCACCATGGGTTCCACTGGAAGAGGCAGATTGGAATTAACACACTAGCATTTCAGTAACTTTGCCATGGGATTACAAATATAGACTTCCCGGACTAGGACAAGGACCAGGAAGGGCTCTCTATAAAACATAACTTTGTGTGGGGGGGGATACAATTCAACCCATAACAGATAGGATACATGCAATTGTATCTAAGAGACAAAATACATAAAAGGACGGGCTCTGGAGAGTATGCAGCTTTTTTATACTTTTATTAACAGGATTCAGATACTAAGAAAAGTATGTCCACATAAGGGAAGTGGTCAGTATTGGAGCATAGAAATATCTACCATCAGATGGATGAATGAGTGGACCATTATACTGATAGGGTTGCTCCTCCTCCTCCGAGGAACATTATTTCCTCTTATGACTAGTGATCCTCTTGTGCAAACTACAAAACTCACTCCCCTCGCTTAGACTCCATGTTCACCTAGAAGTCACTCAAACTGTACTGCTTAGCTTTCCATAGATTGGCCAAAAGCTTGACACCTGTAAAGTAAAGGCATAAAGGTTTACTTTGGCTCACAGCTTCAGAGGGTTCCGTTCAAGGTGGGTTGGCTCCAAGGCAACCAGTGTGGAAGAACAGGATGGCAGAGGAAAGCTGCTTACTACGTGGTGACCAAGAACTAGAGAGAGAAAGGAGGCACCGGCAAGAGGCATGTATCTTTCCAGGTCATGATCTCTGTGACCTGCCTCTTCCAATTTGAACACATGAGACTTTTGGAGGACGTCTTAGAGCTAAGCGATAACATAAAATAACTTGGTCTTAACAGAAATTCCTCTCATAAGAAGAAAACAGAAGGTGCAGCACTCTGCATTGGGGTTTTATGAATCAGGTTAAAAGGGTTTCATCCTCACTGACTGGTGGTGAGCTGTGAAGGTGTTGGACCAATCAGATTTCTGAGCCTCAAAAATCAGAATTTCTCAGGTAAGCCAGCTAACATCAGCTGCCTCCGGGAGAAAATGAGTGAGTTGGATCATGCTTTCAAGCTTCACTTGGCAATGACCGTCCCTTGCTGCCTGACCCTTCACCTTATTTTATATATGTTCAGAATCAACCAGAGGACTTGAAGCTTAGACAGTGAATACTCATACCCATAAAGTGACCCTGGTTTGCATTGAGAGCAACCTAATATATTCAGGATTTAACTGATGTATGAGTCAGAATTAAGATTCTTGTGAAATAAACAAAAAATCTGGAAATAACCTGCATTTTGAAGTGCAATATGAAATGGTCTGATGTCTGGGGGACCCTATGCACTCCAGAGGCTGCCTGTTGAGTTGCTGCAGGAAAGCAGAGAGGATATAAATGGGAGCGTTGAAGGACCAGCCCTGGCCTTGCATCATAACCAAATCGGCACATCTCTTCTGTTTTATCCTGAGACCTCCACCTCTACTTAGCATTGCTGCGGTGTCTATGGCTTACATTTTCTCTCCCTCATTTTGATTCTTCACTGTGTGCTTTACATGCTGACAGCTGCATACCCTTGCCGGTCCGGACATCTAAATATGATCCAATCTTGCTCCTTTGTCTCTTATACACACAAATGCTCTACTTTCCCCAGGCCATTGCTGACTGAGATGGCTGCTGCCCTCTGTTCATATTGTCGGGGGAATTCACCTCACACAGCATCTGATGGGAAAATCGTCCCATGCTCTGAGAAAAGCACATCTTTTTCTTTGCCTCTCAGTGCTTAATGTAGTCCTGAAGTAGAAAAAGTGCTTCATACATATTTGTTGATGTTACTAGTTGGATGCAGAAAAGAGATTGTAAAAGAATATCAATACCATAACCAGAAAATTAGTTAGCCATCTACAAGAAAACAAAACCTAGGGGCTGGGGATTTAGCTCAGCGACACAGCGCCTGCCTGGCAAGCGCGAGGTCGTGAGTTTGATTTCTGGTACCAGAAGAAAAATGAAAACAAAAACAACAACAACAAAAAAAAGAAAACAAAACCTAGCATCACCATGGCACTCTACCATGACTCCAAATCCAGTTTGACAACTTACTAAATACTAAAGTTTATAATCATGAATGTCAATTTATTTATTCACTATTCACTATTTATTCACTATCAGACTATTCATCTTGCAGAATTTTGTTACCCCAAATAAGAAACTGTCCCTTGCAATCAAAACTGAAACCCCTATATCAATGGATAATTCTCAATATTTTTAAACCTTGTTTAACTTTGACCTCACACTGTTGTACAAGTTCACACTTATACACTCTGCCCTTTGTGTGCATTAATTATACTTATTTTATGAAACTATAAAAGAAAATTTCATAACAAAATAAGAGAGTAGCCACAGTTAATACACTGTATCATGATCTTACAAGTAATTACTCAGAATACAAGACATTAAAAAGATTCTTGCAAAAAATAAACAGGTAATAACACAAAACTTTATTTACAATGAACTAAGATACTGTAAACTAGTAGTATAAATGAAACTAATTAGCAAATATATTAAAATATTTTTGAAACAGTGGAATATGTAATTCAGGGAAGTATTTGAACTTCTCCCCACTTCCTATTTATTTCTCTTCTATTTTGCTCATCACAAAATATATATGGTGTTTCTCCTCTGAGAGACCATGAGATATTTGAGCTTCTGTGTCTGACTTTTTCACATAAGGTGAAGTTCTCAAGTTTCATCCATTTACCTATGAATGCGTCACATTTATCTTTATGGCAACACAGTACTCCATTGTGTGTAAATATATTTTCCTTATCCATTCATCTGTCTATGGACTTAAAAGCTGCTTCCACGATCTACCTACTATAAACTGATCCTGTAAATGTGGGGATGCATGTATCCCTGTAGTATGACGGATTTTAACTCTTTTGGGAAGACAGCTAGAAGGGGATACCTGGGTAAAATGGAATTTCTACTTTTAGGATTTTGAGGACTCTTTACATTGATTTCACATTAAGCAAATTGCAATTCATTCCACTGAAGATGTGTTACCGTCTTGTCTAGTGAAACTCTGTTTCGTTTCTAATGGTTTTTTATTCTCTTTAATGGTTTGACCAACCTTGCATTTCTACATCTGGTAATCTGAGCAATTTCGTTGAAGATAACCATACGTGTTATTTTTATTGTTTTTACTTTCTTTTGTTTTTACCTACGTTGTTGACATTTTGCTATTGTTCTTTTTTATTATTCTATTTAAAGTTTTAAAAAAGATGTGTTACCTTTCCTATCTGACTCTAAGCTTGTCATTTGTAGACAGTCATTCTGACTAGCGCCTGATTAATGTCATAAACATTTTAGTTAGTCTCCTGGTCACTGTATGTGGATTTTCCTGCTTCACCTCAAACCCAATTTTGTTTCCAAGTTCTTGAGTGTAGCATCTTCTGTTGTTCCCATGTCATTCCCACAGACACCCTCTGAGCAGGACCCTGGGGCTGGGCGAGCGGGCACCGCTCTTTTGAACACATACCCTTGAACACCTCTTTTTACCCACCCTCCCTCACATCAGAGAACTGGTCTTGATCTACCGTCTCTGGCTCGGTCAGACACGGTTAATTCCAGAACCTTTCAGGAGCAGGATTACATTTCTCCTGGTTATCTTCACCTTCTTCTCCGCCCTGAGCTGCGGAATCTGGTCACAGCTCCAAGAGCGATGGAGAAATCTGAGACTGTTCCTTTAAGGCAGAAGTCAAGGAGGGGGAACCAGGGTTTCCATTGTGGACGTGGCCTAGGGCTTCAGTCTGGGGCCCAATTAGCAGTGAGCTTAGCAGGGTTTTTGTTTAGCTTAGCAACCGCCCGCGCCGTCCCGGGGGCGCTCGGGCGTCCGGGGGAGGCCGCCGCAACCTGCAGCTGAGCGCGGCGGCCGGGGTGGGGG